GGTAGATGAAAGTTGCGAAAATAAGTAAGGATGTAAAAGCTCCACTAGGGCTGAGTCTAAGGACACTCCCTTGATCTATAAAACTTGTTTATCTAGTCATGGGCCATGACCTGCTAGTGTTCAGATTCTCTAGCGGGACCACAGCTGCCATCAACAGCATCAACAAGAGGCTGGTACTCCACTGACAATCCAGATTCCTAAACCTGGCCACTTCCAATCAGGTTTGCCCTCCGAAGAGTTAAGAACTGGCCCTCATCAGTAGCGTTAATCTTCTAAGACTACGGCTTTGCCATTTGCAATGAATCCTTTGGTTCTAAAACTCTAAGAGGGGAAAATAGTCTTCCCCAAAAAGCACTGACTTCAGAGTTGGAAAGCCCTGAAATCTGCATCCCAGATGCGCTACTAATACTTGCTATGTAACCTTGGACAAGATGGTTGAACAAGCTGAGCTTTCATTTCCTTATGAAATGGGGATAATATGTATTGTTTTGGCGTTTTTTTGTTTTTTTTTTTTTAGCTGGAGTCTCACTCTGTCACCCAGGCTGGAGTATAGTGGCATGCTTGCAGCCACCGCAATCTCAATCTGCTGGGCTCAATGATCCTTCTGCCTCAGCCTTCCAAGTAGCTGGAACTACAGGCACATGCTACCATGCCTGGCTATTTTTTTCTTAACTTATTGTAGAGATGAGGACTTGCCATGTTGCCCAGGCTGGTATCAAACTCCTGGTCTCAGGCAATCCTCTCGCCTCAGCCTCCCAAAGTGTGGGATTAAAGGTTTGAGCCATCACGCCTGGCCTAAAATGGGGATAATATGTAATACCTTCTGCATATGAAGTCCACAGTTAACAATAAGCCTTTGCTACCTTTTTTGCTTTTCTTTTTTTGAGTTGGAGTCTCACTCTGTCACCCAGGCTGGAGTACAGTGGCACACTCACAGCCACCGCAGCCTCGACCTGCTGGGCTCAGGCGATCCTTCCACCTCAGCCTTCCAAGTAGCTGGAACTACAGGCATGCCCCACCACACCTGGCTAATTTTTCTTGATTTATTGTAGAGACGAAGTCTCGCCAAATTGCCCAGGCTGATCTCGAACCCCAGGGCTCAGGCAATCCCTTTCCCTCTGCCTCCCAAAGTGTTGGGATTATAGGCATGAGCCACCACGCCCAGCCCAGTATTGTAATCTTAATTAGGATCCTCCATGAAATAATAGAGTTTAGGTAAAATGTCTGATGACAAATCTGGGGGAAAACAATTAGTGGCCACCTGCTAATACTATTCCCAGAGGAAAGCATTTACTGGAAGTTCAACCAGTAGGCAAATATGCACTGGTTAGGACACTTATGTCTAATCACTATAAACCAAAGGCTGAGGAATGCCAAACCTATGTTCTAGCTCACTGGCTGCCTCTCCTGGAGATATACTGCCACAGTAGCCACAAATGCTTGAGACATAGAGACCATAATCAAATACAGATGCTAACAAACCTTGGTAGGTCGAGGGATATCTGAGTTGGCACAAAGGAGAGAAGGAAGGTGTGTTTGGGAGCAGAAAGCGAGGGTAAATGAGCACAAAACGCAGTGAGAAAAGGAGTGGTTCCCAAACTGACACATGATGCTAATACGCCATAGGCTCCTCCGGACTGCGAGGTGGTCGTCTTGACATGTTCTTGTCAGAACTTTCGTCAACAGTAGCTTAAAGCTTTGAAAAACTTGAGATCTAAAAGACAGTCGCAGAATATTTTTTTTTTCATGTTTCATTTATTTATTTATTTATTTTTTGAGGTGAGAAAGCAGATGTTTATTAAGAAGACAAAAAAAAAGCTCCCACATGGGAGGGGACCTGAAAAAGGGTAGCCTCATCAGGATATTTTAAAGAGCAAATATAAAAGGTTTAAAGGGGCCGGGCTCGGTGACTCAGCCTGTAATCCCAGTGCTTTGGGAGGCTGAGGTGAGTGGATTGCTTGAGCCCACGGGTTCGCGACCCGCCTGGGCAACTTGGCAAGGCCTCATCTCTACAATGAACCAAAAATTAGTCGGGCGTGGTAGCGCACACCTGTAGTTCCAGCTCCTTGGAAGGTTGATGGGGAAGGATCGCCGGAGCCTAGCAGGTCGAGGCTGTGGTGGCCGGGAGCAGCCACTGTACTCCAGTCTGGGCGACCGAGTGAGACTCCAACTCAAAAAAAAAAAAAGGTTTAAAGAACAAATGTGTTTAATCTCAAAGAAGAGAAGATTCAAGTCTTCTAGAAGACTCTGCAAGTAAAAAGGATTATTAAAAAAAAAAAAAGGGCGACCATATGTTTTCTCTCTCTAGGGATGAACTGAATGACAGGAAATAGCTCCATTGTCATAGAAGAGGATCATTCTAACAGCAATGGTGACTATATATAGAAATAATTTATTAAAATAAAAAAACAAATATTACAAATAGAAATAATTTCTCCAGAAATCCTTAAAAATACCGACCATCCACTTTGTCTAAGTATTACATAGGGATCATATTTCATGGAGTGTCAAAGACACTCTGCTAAGTGGTTTTCTACTCAGTGTCAACCAAGGGGCACAATCAACAGAGTTCAAGCTGCTCTCTTAAAACAGACCAGAGCCCAGGTGCAGTGGCTCTGGTATAACTTCAGCACTTCTGTAGGCTGAAGAGGGAGGATCGCTTGACGAGCCCAGTCTGGGCAACACAGTGAGACCATGTTTCTACAAAAAAAAAAAAAAAAAAAAAGACTGGACTCTCAAGGTCTAGAGGGGAGTCCATAATCTGCTTTCATTGTGGATTTTTGTTTTGTTATTTATAATAAGAGATCATTTCATGCAGGGTGCTACATGGTGGATTACCTGGAATGTACAAACGACTGGGAGAGAGGAGCTGGGCGTGGTGGCTCACGTCTGTAATCCCAGCACTTTGGGAGACAGAGGCAAGAAGATTGCCTGAACTAGCCTGGGCAACACGGTGAGAGCTCATCTCTAAAATAAATAAATAAATAGTGGGGCGTGATGGCACACGGCTATAGTTCCAGCTACTTGGAAGGCTGAAGTGGAAGGATCGCCTGAACCCAGCAGGTTGAAGCTGTGGTTGCTGTAAGCATGCCACTGCACTCCAGCCTGGGCAACAGAGTGAGACTCCAACTCAGAAAAAAAAGAGGAAGACTCTTAACTAAGAAACTCCTGTATTTTCGCTGGGCGCGGTGGCTCACACCTGTAATAGCAGCACTTAGGGAGGCAGAGGCAAGAGGACTGCCTGACGCCAAGGGTTCAAGACAAGCCTGGGCAACTTGGCAAGATCTCATCTCTACAATACATAAAAACAAAATTGGCCATGTGTGGTGGCGCACACATGTCGTTCCAGCTTCTTGGAAGGCCAAGGCAGAAGGACTGTTTGGGCTCAGCCGGTCGAGGCTTGCGGTGGCTGTGAGTGTGCCGCTGCACTCCAGCCTGGGCGACAGAGTGAGACTCCAACTAAAAAAAAAAAAACCCAACCAAACAAACAAAAAAACTGGAAAGGAGGAAAGACACTGACTGACCCGGCTTGCAGAGGTATGGTAAGTTGCCGGTGTATTTAAAGTAGTAATGAAAGGTTTTTTCTCTATGAGATGATAAATAAACTGGACTGCTACAGTTGAAAACAACTGACTTGCCAAGGTGCCCACATAAAACAAAATCTGGGGAACATAAAACGACAGTGATTTGAAGCTCGGCGTTGTCCTGCTCACCAAAAATAGAGCTAGGCACTTAGTTCTACAAGCCCACGGCAGGGCAGCAGCGGAGGAGATGCCCCTCTCTGTGGCACTGGCAGGGGCACTGTGTGCTCAGAAATAAGTAACTAGCAAAGTTGCTGAATTTTCTAGTTTCCATGAGTCCATGAAAAGCACTCCAAGGCTGCTCTAAATATAAAAATGTAAAACGTAAAAAAACTAGCGAGCAAACTGTGCTCCAGACTTAAGATGTGGAACTTCAAGGGCGACGGCAGAGCAGATGTGTTGAAGGGTTATAAAACAGAACACACAGCCTTGGGGCCTTGAACAAGACGCGGGCACAACTCAGCCTCAAAGAGAAGCAAATTGCCAAAGCAGCACTTAATCTATGATATAATCAGATGAAAAATGAATCCTTCATGCATTTCCAGAGGTTACCAAAACTCTACCTCAAAACCCCTCGATTGCCACCTGGATTCCAAGTTCCTAATAGGGCCCTATCGAAATCCAAAAGCTCCCAAAACAGACCTTTTGTTCCACCATATGCCCCAGCCCAGAGAGCTGCTTTTTAGAAGTCACTGCCAAAACCACAGTTCCCAAGGCAATCACTGGCAGACCACAGGTGTGCTAGCGATCAAACAAAGATTAGAAATCGGCAGCACCTACGGAACTTCTATAGAGGGGCAGTAATCAGGTTGGGTGAGGATACCAAAGGGGCCTTTTTTGAAGCTTTGTTTGCAAACAAAGCTACAAATATATAAAGATAACGAAGCTCCCTAAAGATGTTTTAGTCGCACTTCATATAAAACTGAGAGAACATCCCTTGTCACCAACAGTGACTGTAATTCTTACTGCTGTTGCGATTGTTAGTGGGGAGTCTCGAGAGCACTGATGAAGATGAGGGGTACCGAAGCTCCCTCTGAGAACCAGTGACTCCATGCTTCGATCCTGCGGTTGGCTGGAGTGAGAAGTGCTACGTGTACCTTGGACAGCGTTGCTTTCTGTGCAGAACTAACCGGTGCTGCTCCTCATTAAATACACAACTTCATGATCGCCAGTACTGCATCTCAGCCACCCAGATGGTAGCTTAATAGCCAGAGAGAATTAACAGTGCCCCTCTAAGCACATTATTCACCCAGAGAATAGCTAAAGCAATGGAAATCCTGCCCATTATTTCCCACACAATTGCTAAATAATATGCAATCACAGAAATGAAGCATGGCATATGGTCACCTCCTCACTATCCCGAGACTCACTGTGATAAAAATACTGTTCAAAACCCTTGTAGCCACGTGAAAGGCATACCTTTCTTTTCGGGAAGAAACATGACAATAAGACAAGCAAGTCCTCCCAGGCACAGAAATGCTGCTAACGTCCGTTTCCGTCCAAACCTAAACAACAGAAAGAAATGACACAATTCTCTTAAGAATCTTATAAATTCATGTGTTGCTTCTTTCCCATCTTCCTATTTAAATGTCCTCCGTTTCATTATGTATGTTCATCTCTGTCTAAGGAGTGGGTGACAGATGTGACTGACAGGGAGCTGATTAGGACATCAAATAAATAACCATCAGAAAACAAAGAAATCCTTGCTAGGTGGCAGGATGAAGTGAGGTGTATGAGAAAAGAACGTAGAACTATTCTATTTCCATGGATGTTGACTTTGTTTCAGGCACTGTTTTAACTGCTTTCCATCTATTATCTCATGTAATCCTAATAATAAACCTGTTGGCATGCATTGTTAGATTCTCCATCTTTTAGAGAATGAAACTGAAACAAGGATAATGGCGTCCTCCAGCTCGCTTCATTTTCTGGTTACCAAATCTTATGCAGTTAAAAGTTTCAAACATTGTTTAAAAAAAAAAAAAGGCCCCCTCTCTTAAAAATACAAACCAAATTATTTATTGTTAGAGGGTTAGAAATAAGTGAAATGTCTTACTTCACTGAGAGAAGTAATTTTCAAGTAAGAGCCCTAGACTTGTGTGGGGTATATATAGTCCAGAAATAGACTGTTTCCCCTATACCTGGATTTTTTCTGCCACATCCCTCAGGGAGTGGCCTCTGGCCAAGGTTGGTCACTGAAGGGATGTATATTCCCAGTAATAAGTCATGGGGTGTAGGTGACTGAGCAAAGCTGAAAACAATGTAGTAGTCATCAAGCTTAATCAATGTAATAGTACACACCATATAGGAATTTGAATAATTAGTTTGATTGTTTTCATTATAAAACTGCTTGCTCTACTGCCCCAAGGTGCAGATTCTTTACTGACCGGCCAGTAAGTTTTAATAAACCGATAACTTTCCCAGCTGGACCCTCTGCGTGACTTCTTTGGAATAGGTAAACATGACACTCAAGTCCTCTCAGATATGAGGTTACCGCGTTACAACTTGGAAGAAAGACAGTAACATTAATAAGTCTCCTTTTTCTAAGGGCCTGCAAATGCTAGGTATTTTGCTAGGAATCTCAATAATTTTGATTACAATTTTGTCGGGAAAATTTTATGATCCCTGGTATGAGGACGGGTAGAGGCTTAGCGGGGGGAACCTGTCAAAGTCATACAAGCCACACGTGGTCAAGACTAGATCTGAATTAGGTGTGTCTGATCCCAAAGGCTGCATTCCTTCCCTCTGCTTCAGATGCTAACCCTGACTCTGGGTGGTGGTTGACAGGAGACAGAGAAGGCCATGAGTCTTCTTTGCCAGGTCATTTTCCTTAACTTAATAGTCCCTACGGAATGGCTTTCAAGTGACACGTACCATGCTAGGGAGGCTCTAGGGATCCAAGACACATAGGGAACCCCCATGGACGGCTTTCTTTGGATTTTTATAATGATTTTAAGTGGTCCCCCGAGGTATGCACAGGAAGCTACAGCAGCAGAAAAAGGGGGAGTTGGCACACCTGGGGGGTTGGGGAAAGATTTCTGAAAATGATGTCTGACCCAGCTCTTAGACAATGGTGAGAGTAAGCAGCAGCCTCGAGCAGAGGGGTCAGCAGAGGCAACTGGGAACACCCCTAGGAGGAAAGCCTTTAATTTAACAGCATCCAAACCCGCCCCTCAAAATGCTCTAGGCTGAACATCATGACAACAGCAGAAGCGCATTGCCTAAGGAAGCCTGGTTTGGGTCAGGATGATGATTTCTTTTTTTTTTTTTTTTTGAGTTGGAGTCTCACTCTGTCGCCCAGACTGGAGCACAGTGGCCGCTCCCAGCCACCGCAGCCTCCACCTGCTGGGCTCCGGTGATCCTTCCGCCTCAGCCTTCCAAGTAGCTGGAACTACAGGTGCGCGCTACCACGCCCGGTTAGTTTTTGATTTGTTGTAGAGACGAGGTCTCGCCAAGTTGCCCAGGTGGGTCTCGAACCCGCGGGCTCAGGCAATCCACTCACCTCGGCCTCCCAAAGCGTGGGATTTCTGAGGAAGAAGAAATGGCATAATCTGGCTGACTCCTAGCTACACAGAACAGGACTTTTAGTTGCCTTGGTCAGGGGCTAAATAACAAGCAATTTCAAAAAAACTGAGGAAGAGGTGCTCTAGCAAATAACTTATAATACGTATTACAAAACTGTGCCCAGTCACAATGAGTAGCAAAAGTAGGGTATATGTTCTTTCCCCCTGAACGATGTAAGGTAGGTCTTAGAAGATGTTTTTTAAAAAGTCTTTCCGGGTCCTTCAGTTCTTTGTCTTCTTATAGGAACTTTTTTTTTTTTTTGAGTTGGAGTCTCACTCCGTCACCCAGACTGGAGCACACTGGCCGCTCCCAGCCACCGCAGCCTTGACCTGCTAGGCTCAGGCGATCCTTCCACCTCAGCCTTCCAAGTAGCTGGCACTACAGGCGTGTGCTACCACACCCGGCTGATTTTTGATTTATTGTAGAGACGAGGTCTCGCCAAGTTGCTCGGGCTGGTCTCGCAGCTGCGGGCTCAGGCAATCCACTCACCTCAGCCTCCCAAAGTGCTGGGATTAGAGGCTGAGCCACTGAGCCTGCCCGGTCCCTTATAAGAACTTCTAAATATTGTTAATTGGGTTTATGAAGTACATAAAGTTAATAATCCCATCTCTTGGGACTAACAAATGACACACAGACTACTCAAAAGCCCTCTGATGGTAACAGTCAATACCATCTTGGATTTCAATACTCAATATTGAAATAAAACCTCTCTCAAACCTACATTAAAAAGCTCATAAACATGAAACCCAAGAAATACTGCACTAAGAGGTCAGCAAACATTTTCTTTCTTTCTTTCTTTCTTTTTTTTTTAAGTTGGAGTCTCACTCTGTCACCCAGACTGGCGCTACCACGCCCGGCTCATTTTTTGGATTTACTGTAGAGATGAGGTCTCCCCAAGCTGCCGAGGTGGGTCTCGAACCCGCGTGCTCAGGCAATCCACTCACCTCAGCCTCCCAAAGCACGGGATTACAGGCTGAGCCACCGAGCCCGGCTAGCAAACGTTTTCTTAAAGAGCCCCATAGTGTATATTTAGGGTTTGAGGGTCAGGTATTTATAGCAACAACTCAGCAGTACCACTGTAGCATGAAAACAGCTCTATCATACATGAGCATGGTTGTGTTTTAACAAAACTATTTACAGACAAAAAAGAAAGAAATACTGCACTAAAAACTGAATCCTAACTGCATTTGGTCAGGAAAAAAGCCCTCTAATCACCATGGAGTAATCAGCAGATACTGCGTACAAAGACAATAACATTCAGGTATTTATGTATATGAGTGAACATGTGTATGCATGCACACTCCCTATGGTGCATTTTGTTGGTTTTTTTTTTGAGTCAGAATCTCACTCTGTCACCCAGGCTGGAGTGCAGTGGCATGCTCATAGCCACCACAGCCTCGACCTGCTGGGCTTGGGCCATCCTTCCGCCTCAGCCTTTCAGGTAGCTGGAACCACAGGCATGCACCACCACACCTGGCTAATTTTTTTATTTACTGTAGAAATGGGGTATCAAACCCCTGGACTCAGGCAATCCTCTCGCCTCTGCCTCCCAAAGTGCTGGGATTACAGGCATGAGCCACCACGCCTGGCCCTATGGTACACTTTGTATTCATCCATACTCACCATTTTTGGTTAATCAAGTAGATACAGAGAGGATAAGATGGAATCTCTATGAGGCCAGATAGGGCCAGGTTGGCATAAATACTTCCTCCAAGATCACCTGCACTCAGAGTCAGGCCATAGTACACCAAGCTGCACACAAACCTGTAATTAGGGGTCAAAAGAGCAGGAGGTGAAAGACAAGAAGGACAATGAAAAAAGCACGTAAGAATTTGCCAAAGAACATTCAAGTATTGCTTCACTATAAGATCTGCTGCAAGCAACAGGCCTCTCTACTGGCATTTGTATCTTAGTCTAAATTTCTCCACTAGGAAAAAACAAAAAGAAGTGGAGCCTTGGAAATAATTTGAATTATGTCTGTAATGTTATAGAAAGCAAATGGATGGCCAGCCCCTGAAAGAGAAAAGACACTGTGTTTTCAGCAAGTATTTTTGCATTTAATAGAAGACGATGACCCTATTCTTACATTTAATTCAACAACTGATGGAACACTTGCATAGACAGTTATTGTGATATCATCAAATGAGTCTAGAAAAGAACTTCCATGGAGAGAGCCGACAGAGATGGCGTTGAGAACGTGGGTTGAGACGTGACTGGATCTTCAGTGGGTCACATGCAGACCAGGAACGGCGCCACACCCTGATGATCTAGTCACTTCCCAGGCCAGGTCTTACCCCAGTCAGCGTTCAGCAGGTATCCATGCTGTAGACACCCAGAACAGAAAGAAAGGGCAGGGGCAGAGCAGAGCAGGGTTCTCTTGGAGGACCAACTGGGAAAGAGTCCTTTGACAAGCGATTTACTGCTGCACACTGTTCCTGAAACACACACTTCGGGACCGCCTCTTAGGTGACAGGCATTGTGCTCAGCGTCCAGCATATCTCCTACAATCTGGGAACCAAAGAGCCAAGGAGCTAAGTCAATCAAAAGGCCAGCCTGAAGCTTCAAACCAGGCCTTCCTCAAACAGAGTGAAGATGGTCATAAGAACTTCTGTGCCTAAGAGCTGCATTATTCAAAACAAAATAGAACAAAGAAAAGTAAAATGCTGAAACTGGACTTTACAATGATATAAGTACACCTGGTAAACCATACACTGTTGTACAAGAAACAAAACATGTGAGCTCTGTGAAGTTTATCAGTTGTTACGCTTCTGCAATTCAGTTTGGCCAGTGTTCACGAAGGAGAGGTTCTCATTCGCTTCCCTTTATTTTTCCTAAGGAAATGTCTACTGAGCTGTGGCTATGATAAGATCCACAGAGGGAAGGGAAAGCTTTATTTCATCATCTCTGCCAAGATACAGAAGTGGGCCAAGTGCCCCAGGCTATCAAGAATGGTACAGCAAGGAGAGAGGAGTGGGGGGGGGGGATAGGGACCCCCGAAGCTAGACTGGCTAGCTGTCCATTCCTTCCCAGCCAGTGAGCCAGAAGCAGCCACTTCTCCCCATTACTTCTCCTGGAACGGAGCTGTCACTCATGGACTAAGGACAATGAGCAGAGCTGTAGCAGGACGTCATGCATGAGGATGCAAGGTGACACAGAGTTGTCTGTTTCCCTGTCCCCCAGGCACCTTGCATGTTAGCAGAAGGCAAAATAAATTTACATCCATGCAATTTTCTAAAATACTTTAAAAATCCTTTCCACCTGCGGTAGAGACCGTCCTCTTACATAAGGCTGTTTCCCAGTGGGTTGTTTCTCTCTTCTGAATTTAAAATAGAAATTCCAGTGAAGTCACTCAAGCCATGAAAACACACACCTATATAAATCGAACTGTGATGGTAGGGAGTCAAGGAAGAATAAACAAAGCCAGTTCAGGATAAGAGAGGAACTGAGTCACCAGCTGCTGGTGAGAGGGAACCAGAGAGCATGAAGCATGGAAGGACTCATCGTCCCCAAGGCTCGGCCTCTGCTCTGCTCTGCAAGTTGCCTTCATGCTGGAGTTGGTCGTTGGAATCTGTAATTATAGCTATTAAAATCATTTCAATCCTCCTCAAGTGCCCCGGGCAAAATTCAAGACACTTGCATCATATTCAACAGCATATTTAGGGCACCAGAGAACTATTTATTTATTTATTCATGTATTCATTCATTCACTCGAGTCAGAGTCTCACTCTGTTGCCCAGGCTGGAGTGCAGTGGCACACTCACGGCCACTGCAAGCTTAACCTGCTAGACTCAGGTGATCCTTCTGCCTCAGCCTTCCAAGAAGCTGGAACCACAGGCAAGTGCCACCACGCCTGGCTAGTTTTTATTTATTTATTGTAGAGACAAGGTCTCACCAAGTTGCTCAGGCTGTTCTCGAACCCTAGGCTCACGCAATCCTCTTGCCTCAGTCTCCCAAAGTGCTGGTTTTACAGGCATGAGCTACTGTGCCCAGCTCCAAAGAACTATTTTTAAAAGCACTATTGTGGGAAATCACTAAAGAAACAAATGTTAAACACAAAGGTATGATTTTAATCCCCAGTTAAGGCTTCCTTCAATGACAGATCCACAGAAAATATTTTAGGATGTTATGGCATCTTCAAAAACAGTGGCAATATGTGGAAAGACATTGTCTCTATTATCATGTGTTTTAACATTCTGAGCCTGGGGGAAAGAGATTTATTTGGCTATGTAAGAAATAACACGAACAGGTACATTCTCCCTGGACCTGAGTCTTTCCTTCTCTTTTTTGAAATCCACTGAAGGCCAGAACCCAGAAATTAATATACATGGAAATAAATAAATAAAAGCAGCAAATCATCAACAAGTAGGTGCTTCTTCCAAGGTAGAGGGTTTTGACTGCCTGTCTATGTGATATGCAAATACAGGCTTTATGAAGCCCTAAGAACTCGACCTTGCATTCTAAGCATTTGCCTTTGAGAAGGCAAAACCTCAAATGAGTAGCTCCTTGTCGAGCTGGGCTCTGGATGGTCCTCTGAGTCTCTGTGCTTCCAAGAGTCAACAATTATTATGTACCTGAGATATCCCAGCACTGTGCTAGTTCTGTGGGAGACGGCAGCCGTGGGTGTGACATGGCCCATGATCACACAGGTGGCCCCCTGTGCTCGGGTAGGAAAAGAGAATATGATATAGAAAAAAAAAAAAAATCTTCACATCTTCTTATTTTCAAGCTACTGTTCTTTCTAGCTTTATCCAAGAGGGGGCCCGACCAAAATGGAATTATCTTTTAGAGGGTGGGCCCTTTGTAGTACACCCAGAATTTGTTCCTCTGGATCAAACCGTCAACCAAAGTTTTCATCTGGAAGTTTTGAGAAGTTTGTGTCATGATTTGCAGAAGAGACATCCCAAGTCGTGGCAAACTAGTGACTGGTTCTTCCACCATGCCTATGCCCCTTTCCACATCGTGCTGAGTGTTCAGCAGTTTTTGACCAAGAAAGGCATGATCCCTGTGCCCTACCATCGCTATTCACCCAGTCTCACCCTGAGGGACTTTTTTGTTTCCCCAGATTAAAAAAGTTCTCAAAGGGCCGGGCACAGTGGCTTACGCCTGTAATCCCTACACTTTGGGAGACTAAGGCGAGAGGATTGCCTGAGCCCAAGGGTTCAAAACCAGCCTGGGCAACTTGGTGAGACCTTGTCTCTACAATAAGTCAAAAAATTAGCTGTGTGTGGAGGTGCATGCATGTGGTTCCAGTTACTTGGAAGGCAGAGGTGGAAGGATCGCCTGAGCCCAGCAGGTGGAGGCTGTGGTGGCCATAAGCATGACACTGCATTCCAGCATGGGCAACAGGGTGCGATTCTGACTCAGGAAAAAAAATAAGGTCCTCAGAGGGAAACGTTTTGTGCTGTGGAAGAGGTGAAACAAAAAATGGCAGAAGCACTGAAAAGCATCAACATTGACAAGTTCACAGAGTGTTTTGAGCAGCAGAAAAAGCGTCTCCGTAGGTATACTGCATCAAGCAGAGAGTCCTTTGAAGGTGACTAAATTTTAAACATGTAAGAATAAATACACAATTTTTAATAAATAAATTCTGGCTTTTTTGGGGTTCCCCCCTTGTACATAAAATCACTTTCATATAAAATCACTTTCCTTTATCTCTACATGAAGATGTAGGGAATCCATGCAGCCTTCATGGCAAGAACATATAAGCCATAGCACAGCAGTCCTTTAGGCCAGGAGATTTATGATCACGCCCACTGCTGGGCCAGATAACACATATGGCACGTTAGCACATACACAATATTAAAGCACATGTGCAATCCACAGATTGCATGTCCCTATCCATCTCTCCCCTTTCTACACTATCATTCCTTCTTTCCTTTTTTTTAAAGTCAGGAAAACTCTGTCACCCCTACTGGAGTACAGTGGCAGGATCCCAGTTCACCATAGCCTCCAACGCCTGGGCTCAGGCGATACTCCCATCTCAGCCTTCAGAGTAGCTGGGACTCCAGGTACACATACCATATTCACTAATTTTTTAAATTTGTTTTTGGAGTCTCATTTGGTTACCAGGCTGGAGTGTAGTGGCACGCACACTCATGGCCACTGCAGCCTCGACCTGCCGGGCTTAGGAGATCCTTCCGCCTCAGCCTTCCAAATAGCTGGAACTACAGATGCACGCCACCATGTCCAACTAATTTTTTGTGATTTATTGTAGAGATGAGGTCTCGCCAAATTGCCCAGGCTGGTCTCGAACTCCCAGGCTCAGGCAATTCTCTCGCCTCGGCCTCCCAAAGTGCTGGAATTACAGGCTGAGCCACTGCACCTGGCCTATCTTTTTTTTTTTTTTTTTTTTAAGTATAGAGATGTGGTACAGGTAAGGATCAACTACACAAGTAGGATGCATGCAGTTGAAGTCTGAGCCTCTGACTGGTCCTACCATCCCCTGGTTTAGAACCAGGTACCCTTTGCGTTGTTACGTATCCCCCTCTCCTGGCAGTGCCCGGCAACTGCTGATCCCTCCCTTGTGCTGTTGTGATTAATGTTTAGTTCCCACTATGAGTGCGAACGTGCAGTAAATTAAAAAAATTTTTTTTGAAAGATGAGGTCTGGCTATGTTGCCCAAGCTGGTCTTGAACTCCCGGGCTCAAGCAACCCTCCGCCTCAGCATCCCAAAACACTGGGATTACAGGCGTGAGCCACTGTGCTCAGACAACCACTTTATTTTTTAGATGGAACCATCTTGAATCACTGAATGTAACTTAACACGCACGCTGAGAGCATTCTGAGAAGCAGGTGGGAATAAGCTGAACAACTAGAAAATCGGGTTGGGAGCGTGTTCGGCACAGTTCCATCACTGACTTGCATATGTGACTTTGGCTTCATTACCTTAAACTCCTGGGGTCTATTTGGCCCACCTCAAGAAAACACAGAGCATGCTGGCCTCGGTGGCTCAGCCTGCAATCCCGCGCCTTTGGGAGGCTGAGGTGAGTGGATTGCCTGAGTCCGTGGGTTCAAGACCCGCCTGGGCAGCGAGAACTCATCTCTACAATAAATCGAAAAATCAGCCGGGCGTGGTAGTGCACGCCTGTAGTTATGGCTACTCGGAAGGCTGAGGCGGATTGCTGGAGCCCAGCAGGTCGAGGCTGCGGTGGCCAGGAGCGACCACTGCACTCCAGTCTGGGCGACAGAGTGAGACTCCAACTCAAAAAAAAAAAAAAAGAAAGAAAACACAGAGCATTATAATTCAAATGTGTTATCAAACTTTTTGATGCCAAACCACAGGTAGGTTTTTTTTTTCCTTTTTATTTCCCTTTTTTTTGAGTCTCACTCTGTCACGCAGGCTGGAGTGCAGTGTTAGGATCATGACTCACCATAGCCTTGACCTTCTGGGCTCAGGTGATGCTCCCTCCTCAGCCTCCTGAGTCACTAGACTACAGGCATGCGCCATCACGCCTGGTTAACTTTTTAATTTTTTTGTCGAGATACGGTCTTGCTATGCTGCCCAGGCTGGCCAAGGTAGGTATTTTTAAAGTCCTATTTAGAAACTCCTCTGTTTCTGGCATGCTTGCTTGTTTTCTTTCCTTTTTGTGGGGAGGAGAGGAGGGAGGTTTACATGTTTACATCAGATACCTCAAGAGCAAAGACATGTTTCTGATGTCTACTTAGTCAAGTCCACGGAACCTGCCTATGGGACGCCAACATCTGCTGCTTGAGGGAGACTACCTCTAAGAGCAAAACACCAGGAGCCAAGGGACAGAGGCCTTGTTTTTGAGACAACCGCCGCATGCTAACAAAAGAGGTAACATTTTCTGTAGCCCTGAAGAAGAAACAGATTAAGAGACCTTCGGCAACCGGAGTTGAAGATCGACAAAACACAGCTTAGATACACTCACCAGATGAACATCAGGACCAGAGTGTGTCCTAAGAGGACCCGGTAACGGAACAGATCCAGGAAACTTCCCGTCTCCTTGTGGCTCCTGTTGGCTGGGTACGTTAGTGAGAACGTGCACTTGAGCTTGCGGTTCCTTTTGGCGATGAGGTACAGTGCCTCTTCGGCCTCACTCAGTCGACCCTGGGAGTATAACCAACGAGGTGATTCAGGAATGAATCTGAAAGAGACGTCATTAAAGCCTGTATATTCATATGGGTACACGTGCACAGGAAGGAGACAAGTCACCCACTCAGTACGCAGATTCCCTGACAAATGGATTATGTGCTAGGCTTAAAGCTTGACTCTCCCAAGGATACAAGAAAGGGAGGGGTTACAGCTTTCAACAGCACATCAACATTAAATGGTGGCCTATATATCACGGGAAACCAAGAACTGCTTTCCAAACAGCAGTTTAAAAAGGTACAAAGTATGCATTTATTTTAAAATAAAGTTTAACAGATGAAGAGTAAGTTGTGTCCAGAGTAACACAAATTCTTCATAAAGCACCGGTCAGAAATATGGCTCTAAATCCTAGCCAAGTGTTGGAATAATACTGTAGAGACCCACGGAGCTTTTTAAGTTCCAAAAAAGTCTCACAAGGAAGTCAGAAACCTTTATTATCTCATCAGAAAAAAATGAATTTTAAAAAACTGAAGGTGCTTTTAACACAGTGACATATTATTTTTTTTTTTTTTTTGAGTTGGAGTCTCACTCTGTTACCCAGGCTGGAGTACAGTGGCCACTCCCGGCCACTGCAGCCTCGACCTGTTGGGCTCTGGCGATCCTTCCGCCTCAGCCTTCCAAGTAGCTGGAACTACAGGCACGCGTGACCATGCCTGGCTAATTTTTGATTTATTGTAGAGATGAGGTCTCGCCAAGTTGCCCAGGTGGGTCTCAAACCCGCAGGCTCAGGCAATCCACTCGCCTCGGCCTCCCAAAGGACTGGAATTACAAGCTGAGTCACCGAGCCCAGCTGTGACATATTATTTAAGAGTTAGAGAATATTTTAAAAACCACGCATAAAAACAAAACAGTTTATCACAGCTACTTTTGAGCACTACTCTTCCAAAATACTCAAATCACCTGACACACTAGCTTTACTTAGTATGTCCTGAGGATTTTTCCTAATCCTCCAAACCTTAAAGAATAAAAATTATTTCCTGGTTAACTTCTAGTTGTAATAAAACATTAGGTATTTTCTAATATAACTATAAAGGGTTGGACAATTCCACTGCCACTGATATTTTCAAACAGTTTCAAGACTTAAATATCATGCTACTTCTTGCCTCTTCATCATTTTGCATACACTTTTAGAGGACATTTCAAAGACAAAACCATGGCAGGAACATAAAAGCCTTGTTTGCTAAACACAACAGCAAGTTCTTTTTGATCTAATTTGACATAATCTGCCTAAAATAAAACTTGGATGAATATTCTTGGTTATTTAAGGTGCTTTGTAGAATTCACTGTGCCTTTAGCATGAATAGTGAATCAGCCACAAACTCTACAGGATTTGGAAACTTAATGGAGTGAGTCCATCAATAACCATTTATTGAGCATTTCCGTTTTGTGCAGAGCAACGTAATAGATGCTGAGAGAAAGGTTGCTGGGAACAAAAAGGCAGGAATTTTCCCAGGAGCTTTGCTACTGGGGAAGGGAAGATTCATGTATCACATTTGACTATCAACAAAAGTAGAAACAAAGGATGCCTGCAATGTCCTGAAAAAACTTCTTATTTACTTGTTCATTGCCAGTTGATTACTATTACTGGCATACAAGTAAATAATCAAGTAAAACACCGTTCTGTTGGAAGTTAGGCGGGCAGATCATGAATTGGACCAATTGGTCCTATCCGTGGGTCGGTATACAATGCTACTTTAGCAATGTTGCCTCTGCTCAAAAATGTTCTATGAATATCCTTAAACGTGGCAGATCTTTATAAATTAAGGGATCAATGGTTTTAGGCAAAAAATAAAACATATTCAAGTATTGTGGAAATAAAATTTTAATATGAGCTACTATGTAAACGACTTGACTAAGTCTAAATAAGACTACGGTGATAAATATATACTGTGTATGATAATAAAAATTAGAACTGAGCAGGAGGGGAAGGAGTGAAAAAGAACTCACAGAAGCCAGGTGTGATGACTCATGCCTATAATCCCCAGCACTTTGGGAGGCTGAGGTGAGAGGACTGTTTGAGTCCAGGTTTTCAAGACCAGCCCAGGCAACATAGCAAGACACTATCTCTACAAAAAATAAAAAAAATTTAAAAACAGCAGGGAGTGGTGATGCACACTTGTAGTCCCAGCTACTTAGGAGGCTAAGGTGGAAGGATGGCCTGAGCACAGAAGTTTGAGCCTATGGTGAGCGGTGATTGTGCCACTGCACTCCAGCCTGGGCAACAGAGGGAGACTCCAACTCAAAACAAACAAAAGCCCAAATATTAACAGTCATTATTTATTTCTGGGTAATGTAAGCCATTAAGCCTCTCTGTGTGTTCAGAATTACTGACAGGCAATAAAAATTACTTTTGAAATTTTATGAATACTTTTTAAAGATGATATATGAGAGATATTCAGCCTTTGAAAATTTGGCTCTGAGTTAATAAAACTACTTTTATTTGGGAAAGAGTTTATCTTGACCATGAACACTTAAGGCCTTAAATTTCTCTGCATTTTGAAAGCTTACTTATATAAAGGGTCATCTTGTTGCCTGTACAGATTTGGAAACATGAGTTCCAACATACGCAGATTATGCATACAAAACAATAAAGACATCTTTTTGAAGGAAAGAGAAGGCTTTGGGACAGGGGTAGGGTCACCTGTGCCGTGGTCACCTTCAGAAGTTAACATGCTACTTTAACAATGTTGCCTCTGCTCAAAAATGTTCTATGAATATCCTTAAACGTGGCAAATCTTTATAAATTAAGGGATCAATGGTTTTAGGCAAAAAATAAAACTCATATTCAAGTATTGAGGAAATAAAATTTTAAGTTAGGTAAAAGTGTTTCTAGTAAACAAACAAGGTATACAACACGACTTCTAACGTTGCTGATGGCTAATTTGGAAGGTGATTCTGAATGTCCTTGTGCCAACATCTGTCCATGGATATGAAGAATCTGCCGTATGCACGCAAGGTCCCAGCTTTGTTGCTGAGGGAAACGAAATGCTAGAGCCAAGAGTCTGCTGCTGTCAGAGAGTCCCAGTTTAGAAAGAGAGGCCTAGGTCTGGCGTGAAGCAGAACCCATGCCGCTCTAAGGGCATGGGCTAAATGCTGTAGGATTCAGGGGAAAAAAAAAGAATGACTGGTAGCTTGAGGTATGGCCAGGAAAAGCTTGAGCGGACGGCATCTGAGCAAAAGAGCACGGCGGAGGAGGAAGGAAATAAGCGGAAATGGGAGAAGGGCCTGAGCACCGAGTGGAGGCACAGAGCAAGAAAGCATTCAGTGCACACCGGCAGTAAGTCGCTCGGCATGCCTGAATGCAGGAACAGGAAGGGGGTGGGAGGAACTCAGGAAAGTTAATTGGAGGCAGACTGTGGAAAGCCTTGCATTCCAGGCTTAAATCATATGTGTTCTTTTCTCCCTGCTTTCTATTTTTCCTGACCTGAAATTCACTTCCCAGCGGGTAGATGTCCTCACCTAACACTAAGCAGAAACTAACTCCGACTACACATTCAGAAAGAGAGAAGCAGAACGGCTTGGATTTTCCACTGAAGTGACACTACTCTTGAACGAAACATGATGCCGGGCATGGTGGCTCACACCTGTAATCCCAGCACTTTGGGAGGCAGAGGTGAAAGGATTACCTGAGCCCAGGGGTTTGAGACCAGCCTGGGCAGCTTGGCAAGACCTCGTCTCTACAATAAATCAAAAACTTAGCCGGGTGTGGTGGTGCTTGCCTGTGATTCCAGCTACTTGGAAGGTTGAGATGGAAGGATCATCTGAGCCCAGCAGGTCGAGAGGTTGAGGCTGCAGTGGCGTGAGCGTGCCATTGCACTCCAGCCTGGGCAACAGAGTAAGACTTTGACTCAAAAAAATAAAATAAAAGGAGAGATGAGAGCCAGACTGGGTGGAGAAGTGGAAAAGTTATTTATTTGTCAATTTTATGTAAATGCTTATTAATTCAAGGTAATAGCAGCCACCTATTTAGCAAGCACCTTCAAAAATTCACAACATGCAAGCTAATAAAATGCTGTTTCCCTTTCTAATAAAATTGCCTCACCCAAATTCATATAACTAAATACATTTAATAAATCTTGCTTTCTAAATAGGTTGTTTCTACTGTTTTCGTTTTTGTACAACGGGAGACGAAATGATGTTTTCACTTAACAATTCTATAATTTTCAAAAATAGTATGGTAACCAATTCAGTTCAATCCCCATCAAATCTCAATTTAGAACCTGAATAAAGAACGCCATCTGAATTAAACTGCTACAAAGGTCTTCCTCACTTTATGTCACAGAAGAAAACAGGTACCAGTGGGTAAAAATTCTGTTTATACCAAAGATTTTTGATAATTAAAATGAGCGATCTGATAGCTCAGGGAAGAAAAACCTTTCAAAAACCACATGAAAACTTCTGGAGAAATGACCTAAGTTGGTGGCTCACCTTGTAGCATTCTGGTGTCTTAGAGTACCACAGTGCGACATATTGGGCAGTCATTTATAGCACCCTTCCCCGCCCTGGGAATCATCCTCTTACTGCTATGAGCACTCACTTGCACTCTAAGGATTTCTCCCATATCTGAGACTCCTTCGGAGTCCACATACAGAGGCCCTGGAATGACACTCATCTGTAGGGAGAACAGTTGCCACCACAAATCCAATCTCAATACACTGCTCTACAACTTCATACCTCAGTCACACCCTTAGCCTGAAGACCTTTAGGCTTGAAGTGTTAGGTTAAAAAAGAACTCGGTTGCTTATGCCAACAATTTGAAAGTTAAAATGCGGTCTACTGAAAGATTACTGGAAACAAAGGATACTTGCATTCTGAATTAATTAAGTGTCTCTCTTCCCAGGAGCTGCCAAGAATTGGAGCACTTGCAGAATTTAATTCTTCACCAAAGTCAGTGCAGGCAAGCTCCTGAAAGGGAATAACGCCGCTCATTGACCCGCATCCTCTTAAGACAGTCCTCTGACTTGTTAAATTACAGCTCTAAGTGGAAAAACTACTTACAAAGATAAGAGAAAGACCACTGTTCCCTGCAGGTTAACCAGAACGGCCAGGGTCCTCCAGGAGCGGATGAAGTATCCTAACAGGGCGTACTGAGCAATGCCGACCGCAAAGAAGAGGCCACCAATCGATCCTAAGTCAGAAGAGAGAACTGTCACTGGAGAAAGCACCATCTGCAGTAGCATTTCCAACCCCAAGTCCCAGAGCCAACTCCTTCCTTGTGAGATGTCAGCCCTACGCTGGCAAGTGTAAGAAGCAGACCAGAAAAGAAAAAAAATCCACACAAAGTTGAGCATCAGAGGATAAAACAAACAGAGGCCAGAAAATTCATGAAAAGGCGGGAGGACAGATGAAAAACAGAAACCATATGGGGACAAATGAATTTTAAGAGTCTGCCCAAATGCTTTCTGCACTGACTGCCATACTGACATCTGCCTGAACCTGTGGCTGAGGCTTGGAAATATTTTGGTCATATGGGTGATACGGTTTTTGGGTCGTGAGGTCACTGCAATCCTTGGACTCAATCTTCATCACAGAGGCTGTTCTTAGAAATCTGCATCTTAAATCACAACCTGTTCCCCCAATCCTCCCTGTTGGCCTTCCCCACTTAATTTATCGCCATCGGAGATATGACATTTTGTATTTATTTTTTTCTCATCAGTCTCTCCCAAGTAGAAAATAAGCTCCCTGAAGCATGGATTTTTGTCAGCATACTGATGGAAAAATATCAGCCATGGCATTGTAGACAATTTTATGCTTTTTGATGGGCATTACCAGCTTGCCCAATATTCTTGCAAATTCCATACCTCTGACACACTTTCTATAACTGCTACTGTTGTTATTAGTAGTAGTCATAGCTATTATTTATCGAGCATAATGGTTCTGCATACTCTGTCCCTGCAGCAGATACCATTATGAACCACAGAGTGACATGAGGAAATAGCTCACTGCGACTAAGTAAGCTGTCTAAGGACACAGAGCCGTGTGTGCAGGGCCAGGACTTGACTCCAGGTCTGTCTGATGGGAGGCCTGGATTCCATACCGTTCCCCTTTCTTACCTCCCTGCTATGGAAAGGCAATTTCTGTGGGCGTTCCTCAGCAACAAAAATGTGTTGATCTTATTATAAAAGTTTTCTATAATAACTATGCAAAACAACTGTTTTCTTTAATTCCTGTCCATAGCTTATTGCTCTATAACAGAAAAACAGTGATTTGTATACTGTTTCCCCTAGCAAAAAGGAGGGGGGTCAAAAAAAGGGGAGCTGAGGCCAGTGTGGCTCACGCCTATAATCCCAGCACTTTGGGAGGAAGAGGCAAGAGGATCGCTTGAGCCCAGAAGTTCAAGACCAGCCTGGGCAACAGAGTAAGACCTCAACTTTCTTTTGGCCCAATGCATGTAACAGGATAGGAATAATTCTTGCATAATCTGGTAAGAAGGAGGTAGTATATGTCTTTTGTAAAAAAAAAAAAAAAGCAACTTCTTGCAATAACTACAGCCAAATGTGAATATTTTAATGGAGAAATATGAGCTGTACATGAAAAATATGTATTCATAGCCAGGCATGGTGGCATGCGCCTGTAGTTCCAGCTATTTGGAAGGCTGTGGCAGAAGAATCAAGGCTGTAATGGTTGTGAGCATGCCACTACCCTCCAGCCTGGGCAACAGAGTGAGACTCCAACTAATAAATAAATAAATACTATATATATATATATATATATATTTGTATGTATTCATGATGCTCTACGTGAGCATGATTTTAGACTTCAGAAAAACTGAAATCAAAGGAGAGAGTGCCCTCAGTCACATTTTTATCAGCCCCGTGGTCAACCTGCTTCCCAGGTCAGTATAAGAACATGAGTGGTCCGCATCCATTCATTGTCAAATGAATGAAAGTGAAACAAACAAAAAATCTGCAACCCTAAGTCCACAAGTAGAGTCTCAGAAACAGCCACTCTCTCAAGACAATATTTATAACCTTTTAAAATCGCTTCTCTTACAATGTATGCAGTTCTTAAGATAATGGGATTGTTAAAGGTAATTCAGAATATGGCCTCAATTGTGGAAATTAAGCATCAGTAAGCAATGCTACAACAGTACTATTTCCAACTTGAGGAGAATGGCAAGAAGGGCCGTGAAACAAAGATTTAACAAAATATCCCAAGAAGGTTCCAAGAAAGGAGTTTCTAGTATTTCCTATGGCCTGACTCTTTTCCAGTTCAAGTTCAAGTAAGAAGTGGCTAACAGCCTTCTGAGGAAATGGACACTCTCCACAATAATCTGTGGGCAATCTATGAGGCCGGGGCAAGCTCACATCTGTGAGGCAGGCCCTGAGGGGAGACTTTCGACACAGGAATAGGAAACACTCGTTCAAAGTCATACAGGTCAAACTCAGGAAAGTGACCGAACAGTTGGCTAGAGTACCCCCCCCTCCCGACAAGTCCCAATGCATTTCTAGACTCAGTCTAGGGTTAAGCGGGTTCCCTAGAAGATTTCTTGGAGCCACTCAGCAAGTCCTGATCGGCCCGATCTAAGCAGTACCTGCCAGCGCCCAGTAGGCGGTGCCCACACATTCATTCAGCAAGACGAAGGCCACCAGCGACATCCCCCCGTTCATCACGCCCACCAGGAAGCGTGTTATTGCGAAGAACTCATACGAGGGGGAAAATCCATTTGCAATTGCAAATAAGATGTCAAGAGCAAAACCTAGGAAGGAAGAACAATATTCAATAATCCAGAGGCAAAACAGCAATTGATGAAAGTAATACATTATACTCATTAGTTTATAAAAAGAAACTTACAGTGTCTGAGCTATGTTTTTGTTTGAAGTTTCTCTTAAAAACTATTTAACTCAGCCTGTAAGTCCAGCGCTTTGGGAGACCGAGGTGAGTGGATTGCCTGAGCCCGCCGGTTCAAGACCCGCCTGGGCAACTTGGCGAGACCTCATCTCTACAATAAATCAAAAACAAACAAAAAAATTCAGTCGGGCATGGTAGAATGCGCCTGTAGTTCCAGCTACTTGGAAGGCTGAGGCGGAAGGATCGCCAGAGCCCAGCAGGTTGAGGCTCCCGGCCACCGCACTCCAGTCTGGGTGACAGAGTGAGACTCCAACTCAAAAAAAAAAAAAAACAACTATTTAAAAAAAAAACCCTGAGGTTTGCTTTCTTTTTTATACAATTTCTGTCAATCATACCGTTTTTAATTATTCACAGCATTGCTGGAAATGGAGCAATCCTCACTCATACTCAACTTGTCAAGAGTACTACACCAAGTCCTTAGAGTTCATTTGAAATGAATCAATACACAGAGATAGAAGGAAATGGACCCAGCAGCCTGTCTCAATCTTTTACTGCTCTCCTTAAAAAGAAACATGGCTTAAATAAGAATTTGAGGGCTGCAGACAGCACCATCACCCACGAAAAGTTTACAACACAAATATCTGGTTTTAACTGGGTGGGCTAGTCAGTAAAAAGTGCTTGGCCAGAACGAACTCGGGCTGCAGGTTGGCCTCTTGCCAGTGTAATAAACATCAGTTCTGTGTCCACATGCCAATTCCTTGAGAACCTTAAGGAAATAGTCACCTAATTATTTTCACAAGAACCTCAGGGATATAAGTCCTCTCATTCAGTTCATGAACCCTCTAACAGATTACCTGTGAGATAGACTTTTTTCCTTCCGAAGCGATCCGAAAGCTGACCAAAAGAGATAACTCCAACAAACACACCACTGAAGAAGAAAGAGCTTGCAGCACTGACTTTGTAAGATCTGTTGGCAATTAAAAACCACTAGAGGAAAAAAAGACAAAAGAGAGACATCTAGGTCATAGAAAAGGTGAATGGATTGAGTTAGCTATTAAAAAACCAAATGCACAACAAAAACTTATCCACTGGAACATCTACATTGCATGACCCACCATTAATCAGAATTCTGTAAAGCATCCTTTCTCAGACAATATCCAATAACATTTTATCTTCAGAAACATTAGAAATAATTATTATTTATAATGAACTCCCTCAGGACTCCATACGTATCTTATTACAGAATTGAACACAGTATATAACAGCTAATTGTTTATGCATCTGTTGACTAAGTCCTTCATCCTAAAGCCTATATTTCTTGAGAGGAGGCACCCTGTCCCCTTCATTTCTATTTATCTGATGCCTAATGTACTACAGAGCATACAAGACTCAGGAAGTTCAGGCGTGGTGGCTCATGCCTGTAATCCCAGCCGTTTGGGAGGCAGAGGCGAGATAACTGCTTGAGCCAGGAGTTCAAGACCAGCTTATGAAACATAGTGAGACCTTGTCTCTACAGGAAAAGAAAAAGACGGGAATGAAAAATAGGTAAGGATAACATCCCCTCACTAATGCTGTGCTTTTCTTCTGAATTCTCCTGTTCCTCACATGCAATTCTTAACAAGGTTAATGACATGCTTTACTTAGCTCTTCTTTGATTTACTATTTCAATCATAAACAGAGAGTTATTACTCTTTTTAAAAAATCAGGAAATTACTATTCTTGGTGGCAGTCACAATAAGAGAGATGTGATGGAAGTGATATGACGCAAAACTGAACGATGCTTCAGACATTTTTTTTATCCAGGTACTTAATAAATATTTGACTATTTTCTACTGGAGGTAAACTACTCTTAACCACTAGAGCACAGAGTGAATGAGTGGGACACAGTCCTTGCCCTCCAGGAGTATAAGTTCCAGTGGAGTAAGACAGTACATAAGCGAACTCATTGAGGAGACTGGAAAGAACCGCTTTAAATAATGTGTGCAGGGAGGGCTTCTTGGAGGAAGTGACACTTGTGGCCTGGATGATGAGAAGTAACCAATCATGAAAGCTGTTTGAGAAACCTGAGAGTAAGTACAATGGCCTCAAGATAACACCTCCCAGTGCTTCTAGTGCAGGTGGGATAACATGAGACCACAGAGGCGGGCAAGCGTCAGGGTCAGGCCCCGGGAAGGAGCTGGGAGTTTTTTCTAGTGCAAAGAGAGGACACTGAATTACTGAGTTTAAGTCGCTAAAGATTATTCTGGCTACTCTGTGGGAATGCATGGCCATAGGGAAGAGGGAGCGCCACGCCACGGGGTTACTGCAACAGGTCAAGAGATAACAGTGGCTGGAAGAGTGTGGAAACAGCGCTGATGGAAGGAGCACAGGGCCTTGGGATGCCTTCTGGAGACAGAACCGGCAGATGAGGCTGCGGTGGGAGACAAGGAGAGGGGAGGGACCTGAGTCTTGAATGCTAGCCTCTCAGTGGATGGCTGTGACAGGTATTGAGATGGAGAAGCCTGCAAGGGGTACCAGGTATGTGGTGGGACTTAGTTCTGTGTGGACAAGCTCAGGCAACTCCCCGCTATGAGATACCCACATGGTGATGCCAAGCAGGCATGTGGATACGAGCCTGGCATTCATGAAAGAGGTCGCAAAGATTTATGAAACCAAAGATAGAGAAGTCCCAGGACTGGGGCCCAGGACATGTCCGCTTTCAGAGGCTGAGTAGAAGCCATTACAGAAAACTCACCCGTAGAACTCAGACAGATAGCAGGACAGCAAGGGAGAGCTTGTTTCTTCCTGCCGCTCAGATGCTTAGAAGAGGGAATTTGATTCAGGGAGGAAGCAGTGGTCAAATAGGTCAAGTGCTGCATGAGAAGTCAAGGAAGATGAGGATGAAGACAGGACAGTCATATCTGGAAACAGAACGGACACTTACAAATACGGATTTCAGTAAAGTGAGACTGGAAACCAGAGCACAGAGTACTAAAGAACTGCAGGAGGTTGAGGAATACAGACAGTAAATGTGTACAAAGTGGTTTCAAGAAGTTTTACTGTGAAGGAAAGCCAAGAAATGGAACCGTATTTGGATAGGTATGAGAGGCTAAGGATTATTTGTGAGTGCTTTTAATTTTTTTCTGATTCTGGGTCTTACTCTGTCTCCCCGGCTGGAGTGCATGGCATGATCACGGCTCACCACAGTCTTGACCTCCTGGGCTCAGGTGATCCTTCTGTCCTGAGTAGCTTGGACTACAGTTGTATGCCACCACACCCAGCTAATATTTTTTTGTGTGAGTACATGTGGAGATGAGGTCTCACTATGTTGTTCAAGCTGGTCTCGAACTTCTGGGCTCAAGCAATCCTCCCACCTCGGCCTCCCAAAGTGCTAGGATTACAGGTGTGAGCCACTGCACCTGGCCTGTGTTTTTTAAAATAGCATATATTTGAGCATGTGCGTATGCTGATAAGAGTGATCCAGCAAAGAATGTATACTTGCAGGAGAAAAGTGAATAACAGCAAGAAGGGATGGGCTTGAGTGTACAAAGTGAGGAGGCTGGCCTTTACCAGAAGTAGGAAGCCTGCCACTGTACAGGAAATGAAGACAGAATGTGTTCAGAAGGAGGCAGTGGAGGGACTCCTGATGAGGCCTGACTGCTACGTTTTTTTTTTTTTTTTCTCCCAAAACACCCAGGGAGATCATCAGTTCAAGGGAGTGGATGTGGAGGGTGAGTTCGTTGTTTAAGAAAGATGAGAAGCATGATCACCTAAGGAGGGGGACACGGAACGTTCCAGGGAAATGCTGCATGCCTGCTGGACCACGCCAAATGCTCCCTTGAGCTTTGCAGTTAGTGGTTGTATGAGGAGGAGGTTAAGAGTCAAGCTTACACAAAGTCGGGGGTTTTCCAGGAGTTCCATGGAGAGAGAAAGGGAGCTGAGGGTATTTCCACAGGAGTGATTAGTGTATTATACATTATGAGATAAATGATGGTTAAGAAGAAAGGGGATGACGGGTGGTGAAAAAAATGTCACCATCAGGGCCGTCCCCTATATTTTAACTTCTCTCCTTGTCCCATTCTTGCCTTAACTGAAACTTAGTTGTTCCCTAACAAAAGCACTTGAAATGGGTCCCTGGGAATACACCCGGAGGAACTCAAATCATTCTATGGAAAAGATACCTGTGCATGCAGGTTTATTACTACATTATTCACAACAGCAAAAATATGGAACCAATCATGCTGCCCACCGAAGGAGGACTGGATAAAAAAACATGTGGTACATATACATGATGGAGTATTACGCAGCCATAAAGAGAGACAAAATTATTAACTTCGTAGCAACTTGGATGGACTTAGAGGCTATAATACTGAGAAACAAAGAACCGAGTCTCACATGTTCTCACTCATAAGCAGACCTTGAACAACTATTGTAATATTATAAGAAAGGAATTGGCAGTAGTAGGAAACTGCCAGGGGCGGGTGGGGGCATAATTGGCAGTAGTGGGAAACTGCCAGGGCACACCTCATCAACAAGGGTACCTGTATAATGAACATTTGTATACCTAACCCTGAATTGTACCCCACATATTTAAAAGAAAAAATGTAAAAAAAAGAAAAAATAAATGGATCCCTCTCAGCAGGGCACGGTGGCTCACGCCTGTAATCCCAGCACTTTGGGAGGCCGACGGGAGAGGATTGCCTGAGCCCAGGGGTTCGACACTAGCCTGGGTAATTTGGCAAGACACCATCTATACAATAAGTTAAAAAAAAAAATAGCTGGGTGTGATGACACGTGCCTGAAGTCCCAGCTGTTTGGAAGGCTGAGGAGGAAGGATTGCCCGAGCCCAGCAGGTCAAGGCTGCAGTGGCTGTGAGTGTGCTACTACACGCCACTCTGGGAGACAGAGGGAGACGGGGACTCAAAAAAAAGGATCTCTCTCAACTGGAGGTTTTTCTTTTACACTCAGACCTGAGGTGCCTGGGATATGAATAAATAAAACTTCAAAATCACCAGCTCCTCTGAAAATCACATGATCAGACTGTGTAGCCCACTACCTTTCTATGACAGAAACTGTTAGCTTGTTTTAAAATATTTCTTCTTTCCTTCTTCCAGAGTAACAGAACGTTTAGCTGGGCACATGGCCACTCAGAATGAAGACTGCACGTCCCAGCTTCCCTTGCGGTTCGGTACAGCCACGTTACCGAGTTTTGGGCGATGGGATGTAAGCAAAGACAAGCTCGTGGCACCTTCCGGGAACCTGTCTTCTGAGACAGCAGATTTCTTCTCAGTCCCTTTTTCCTTTCCACTACATGCTGTGGACAATACGCCCATGTGAAAGACAGCACTTCAATCTGGAGCCACAATGCAGAGGGCCACACATTAGGGATCATAAAGGGAAAAGCTGGAAGGAGGCGGGGTCGCTGAGAACTGGCCAAGGGCCTGGGCACTGGCGTCGCCTTCAAGGTCTCCGAGGGTTCTTGACCTTTGAGCACTCCATCTACTCTCAGAGCACCGCCCCCTAGTTTTTCCATCTCATTTCTTCTGGTGCTTCTACTTCAAGCATTCTTCCACCCCTTCAGGGTCTCCAATGACCAAACTCTACAGTGAGTATGACCTGTGTCCTCAAAAAAGATGAGATCATTTTAAGAAGCCCTAATTTAAGAATCTGTAACACAAAGGGCATAATACGTTGTAAAGTTGCATATAAAAGAGATTAAAAGAGCTGTGGCATTTGAAGAAGTTCTGTTTTGCAAAAAATGAATTTATTTGGGGTACATGAGTTCTGTGGTAAGATTTTCAACTCACAAAGACTGCCTAGGTCTAAAAATTTATTTTAGACATTTTTCCAGGTCTAAAAACGAATATTAGATATCAGGCTGTCCTAGAAAAGTTAGGCCTGCATCTGTCACAGGGATATCCCTTCTCTTACACTGACCAACAAACAAGGCCTAACTGTATTCATTCTTAATACCTCGAAATTCAAACACTTGCTTTTCTGTTTTTGAT